GGATCGGTTTATATCTGCCACTTACATAAGACACCTGTGGAAGCCCACCTCTGGCACCACCGAAACAAAACCCCTTCACGAGGGCAACCTAAACAACCGCCCAAGCCCTTAATTTATCTCTATTCCTTTAGAGTACAAAAATGAAGTACAAAAATGAAAAATTCTTTGTAAATTTTTCAACTAGGAAATAGCCATATTTTTTTTTCTCGATCACTGATTTCCCAATATGAATCTAAATTATTACGTGTCGACGGTATTTGTTACTTTGTTAAAAGGCTTTAGACTGTGCTTCCTGGGTGCCTGTGTCTGCTTTCTAGACTGACTGACAGACTACTCGTTTCCCTTGCAATCGGCCATTTTCTGTGGTTTCCTGCAGTATGCATTTGCCTCCTTTTAGGGCCTTGTTGCTTTCCATCTTATGGCTTCTAATCAGTTCTGAAAAGTCAGGTGATAAAATATGTGGGTGTGTAAAAAAAAAAAAAGAAAAAGATAACAATAACAAAACATATACATTATGAACAGGTCTTTTAAGGAGTAATGTGATGTGTATGGGCCTTATTGCAGGCATATTCGATAATAATACTGCGCTGATGTTTGCTTGGTCCCAGAAGGCTGAGATGGTAAAAAAGCGACTTCTAAAAAAGTGAGGAGTTGTTCTGCTCTCTTTAAAGCGTACTGGAATATTTTCGGCCAAAAGATTTTTTTGAAGAATGGCAATTCTATTTTGAAAAAAATATATTTTTTTAATTCCTAAAAATTATGCCTTCATAAATTAAAATTAAGAACTTCCTTTAATCTTGATGATTATTTTATGCCAACAACGCCTACTCTATTGGTTCTCTAAGCTTAACAATTCATGTCACAATTTAAAATAAAACCATCGGTGCTAACGAAAGATTACCAAGACAAAACTAAATTACTACATGAATGCATCAGGATACTGTTTTAAGTGAATTTGATTACAAAAGTGTTTTCTGAAAATCATTTACGAGACAGTTCACAATAAAATTTGATAAAACTACTCTGACTTATAAAAAGGTTAATGGCAATTTAACAATGGTTATCAGGAACCATATTTTACAGTGAACCACACAAGGAACAATAATTTTTCTCTAACTTGCATTAGCACGAGTGGGAGTAAGCTTAGACTCAATAATTGTCATGTAAGACAATTAGAACAGCCAAGGCAAAAGTTATAAAATATTTAAAAAGCATTATCCAAAAATACAACGCGGTCTTTCCTCTTTTAGAAAGGATACATTAAAAAAGAATAGGTTTGGAACTACCGTATTAAAAACCGATTCTCTTCATTCCGACTGATAGAGAAACTATAAAGGAAAACTTTCTGGCTCTACTCTAGATGCATACAAGAGGATGAATTTAATGATTATTAATATAGCCCAATATAGCATGACAGCAGAAATATGTTAATAAAGAGACTTTCTGTCCCTTTAGAAAGAACAGAATGCCAATATTCTTCGTTCACTGCGATGTGCACGACAGTTAAATTAAGAACCCCAAGCTGTAAAAACTGACCCAGGACTATCTGGGAAAGATTCGAATCGCATTGTCAGTGAGTTCTTTAATATTCAAAGAAAGTGTCGGTTTGTTCAATATTTGTATGCCCTAGCACAGTGTCAGACACGGAAAAATACAGAAGGAGGAAGGTATGCCACAGTCCTCTGACTACCTTTCGGGTCTAATTGTTAAAAAATCGCCTCTCATAGTACAGTTTACTTTGACTGTTAGTATATCACAAATGATTCATCTAAATACCATCGTACTTATTTCAGGCAGGAAAATTGAGTGATTATGATATCCTGATAATTACTATAAGTATCAAATGAAGATTATCAAAGCACTAGAATACACAGTAATATAGTTAGCCCTAAAACCACATGGAACAGGAGGCCTTTCTCTGACAACATTCGAGATGAGGAACAGCTCGGGGTCACAAAGATTTGAAAATGTATCTGGTTATCTGAGCTCGCTGACCATCTGGATTCTGAGTAAAGGAGAATTTAATTGTAAAATAGTCATTAAACTAAGATGAGGGTTAGAAGACACAAATATTTATCAGTTTCTCTCTATGCAATAAAAAGATGATCATCAAGTTTTATTCAAGGTCAGAAATATCATGTTCTAAAAGATCACATATAGTACAAATGAACAGAATTAGCTACATAAAATTGACAATGGTTAACTTATCTAGAAGATACAATGTCACTTTGATTCTCGAGTTATCAGGTTATATTGTTCAAAGAACTTCATTGAAGAAAACAAAGACATCTAATTCAAGAACAGTTTGCATCTCCAGAGATATTCCGACTTGTTCTAAAAACCACAGGAGCCTATCTAAATAAGAATAAAAATTACAATACTGAAATACTGCCCCTGATTATAAATGGTAGAGAGGCAGGAAGGTCAGCGTGAATACCAAAGAAAGAAAACACACCTCTGGATAGTCAGAATAATTCCACTTTAAGAAAGAATATCACTCACTAAAAGAACAAGTTGTTATATTCCTAAACAGCAAAAGAATAGAAATACAGAGATTCTGCAACCAGAAAAGAGACAGTTGGCTTTAACTGTCCTCGTGGATTAACTGGTGACCCAAGCACACAAGTATTCAGTCCCTCAAACAAATGGGATTTATAAGGTTAAGAAAAAAGTCCGGCTCCCACACCTGCATATTCATGGCAGAAGAACAGGGACATCTGCTGTCTCACCAGAGTGAAGTCTGGCCACTGCAGTTCCAGACCATGAATTCCCCAAGTCTCTCATCTTTATAGTCCTCGTGCCCAAACCCGTGCCCGCCAATATGGTAGGCGTTCAGGACATAAGCAATGGATGACATGGTTCACTCAGGTGATAACAGTGAAAACTAAAATTCCATTTCCTTATCCTGATTAGTGATTAGCTTTCTCCAAGTCAAAAGTAAAAGACTCAAGAGTTGGGAGTATTTAATGATTTTTACCTAATTCTCTAGAAAATAATAACTCTAATCCATAACGAAGTCATGGTCAATTTTTACGCCACTTCATTGTTACACGTGTAAGAAGAACGAACAGGAGAATTTCACAACTGCGAAAACGACTTGTTTGAGGCTCATCTGAAACTGGCTTCCTAGATTCTCACACCATGCCTGGTGCCTACAAATTCTCTACAACCAGTAAAAGGACCGCAACAAATTTCAGATCATAGTGTGACAATCAGGAAAAGATACTAATCGTCGGATGAACGGGATACTTATTCCTTTTTCTCTTCTCGTGTTAAAGACATTCTCGAACCAAACAAAATCACAGTTGAGGCATGCCAGACCACAAGCAATCATCGCTTCCGAATGCTTGTTTTACATGACAAGTGTCGTGCCTTATCAGCACTTCACAAGAGTTGCCACCCAAAGGAAGGCTTCTTCGCAAGAATGCTATAAAATTTTGCAGCTGAACGTTAGAGAATGTGCTGGGTGTTATCTACATTCACACTACATGAACCTCCACAAGAATTTCCAGCGAATCATTTTCTCCCAATACTGTCCTACTTCAAATCCACCCACTTCCCAGTGGCAAACCCCCAGCTAGATTCTGAAGGCCATTCAGCCTACTTGGGACACGTGGGGGTGTGCAGAAAACCAAAACTTGAATGAACACCTTCTCTCAAGGCCTGGATCCTGCCCCACCCCCTACCCCACCCTAAGGCACGGCCTGCAATAGGAATAATCTTATTAAGACACCTATGAGCCAGAATTCAAAGGCAAGGTAGGGAATGCTCCTTAGATGAGCTAAGGATACAGGGAGGCTGGGGAGAGGAAGGGACTGGGAGACGACGGAAGGGCTTGGTGTCTGGAAGATGACAACCACTCTAAAACATGCAAACGCCGCGGGATGCAATAGAAACGATGCCAAGGACGTGAACGACCGGGCAGCTGACCCTGCTGAGAACCAAACTCGGAAACACTGTCTTCCTTCAAGACTTGAGGATTGCCCCGCAGACTGTTAATAGAATAAAGAAAAACGAAAAGAAGGAGAAGGAAAGAATACCTTGTTTCAACAGAGCGCACCTTTCAACTAAGGAACTCGGGGTGGCGTAAAAACCATGCTCATCCTGGAAAGGAGAAAACTGAAAGAAAAAGGCAGAACACGCCATTAGCGAGGCCTGAACCCCGACTGCTCTTCCTGGACAAGAGCCACACACACCCCAAAACCGATCCATCCAGACGCCCCACCGCACACATATGCAATAATCGAGCCCCGGGCTCCCGACGGAGCCGGCCGGCGGCCCGTGCCTCGGTTTCCCCATCTGCAAATGCAGAGCCAAACAGGGAGAGACGGTTTCCTGCGCTGCTCCCACGCCAGTCCCCTCTCCTCTGCGGGTCCCGGCGGCGGTCACCCCACTCCCACCACTCGGGAGCCCTCTCTGGGGGGCCCGGGGATTGGGGAAGCCCCGGGCGTGGGGAAGCCCGGGCTGACGTCAGCGGGCTCAGCACCCCGCGGGCCTGACCCGCTCGGGGCCGCGACAACTAACGGGTGGGCGGCGAGGGCCAGACGGCCACAGCGGCGGCTCGAGGCGCCCGGAGGCCGGGGAGGGGCGCCCGAGGGGACCCAGCGGCCCAGCGCTCGCCAGTGCCGCCGCCCCATCACTCACTCACCTCGGGCGGCCGGGCGTCGCCCCGTCCCCTGCCTCGCTGGCCCCGGTCGCGGGCCGGCCCCGGCGCCCCACACCCACCGCTCTAGTATTTACCTCCGACGCGCGCCCCCGCGCAGCCGAACCTGCTACCTAGGCCCGCCCCCACCTGCCCCGCCTCCGGACGGCCCGCGGGGGAGGGCGGGGCTGGGCGGGGCCAACCGCCGCGCTACCCAATCATAGCCCGAGCGGCGTCCCTGCGCACGCTCTGATTGGGCTGCACTGTGACAGACCTTCTTCCAATGGCTGCCGGTCCGGAGCGCGCCGTAGGAACTTTCCGTTCCGTCAAGCTCGGTGGAGCCAAAGGGACAGCGGGGGGCGGGGGCGGGCGCCGTGGCTGATTGGGCGACAGACGGCGGGTGCCGCGTCGCGGTTGGCTGACATCGGGGCGGGGTGGGGCACCGTGCATCTTCCCGCTCCGCCTCCCGAGCCTGGGTCTCGGCTCCAGGCTCAGCTGTCAGAACTCCGTAGACCGGGAGTTTGGGGCTGGGGTGGGGGAGCCGTCTAGGCTCCAGCTGGGAGTAGGATTTCAGGATTCCATGAAAAAGCAACGCTTTAGAATCAGACCTGAGTTTGCATCCTCTGTGCTTTCAATAAGGAGCAGCGTGACATGGGGATCTCACAACCACGCTGAGCCTCAATTTTCTCATCTGTAAAATGGAGATAATCGTGAAATAACGTGTGCAAAGTTGTCACACTCCTCACCATTCCCCGCTTTTCCTCCTGTGTTCCTGAGCACAGGGGGAGCTCAGTCGGGTTAAATGTCTTCCTCTCCCTCAGATTCGGCCTGGACTCTTGCTGTTCCTGAACCTCCGTTGCCACCCCAGGTTGGAGGGAGGTCTCCCCGGGGTGCTGAAAAAAGGATTGCCACAGCCGCCTCACTCAGCTCTGCGCCCCTGGCCACCAGCCAGGACTTGGGGTGTAGTTAAGGATCTTTCAATTAGAAGGGAGGTTTGTGATTCCCAAAAGTGCTCAAAATATTTAAGGAAGTGCTTTTTATAATCAGTCCCAGAGCCTTGCAGCATGCTTTGCTGCACTGGATACTCTTGTTAATTAATTCCTTCTCCTTTGACATTTTAAGTACCAATTACAGGAGAAGGTGAGTAATATCGAGGAAGAGGTGTGTGTGTGTGTGTGTGTGTGTATGTATGTTTAATCATGAGAGGGAAAATTTCCCCAGTGGAAAGTGACATTTCTGAAGATCTGGGGAATTTAAACCAGTGAGTACATAAAAGAAGTCACGTGAGTGATTTCTAACAGTACTAGTACACCATCCGCCATCTCCCTAGCCATGATCATCCAGGATGAAATGGATAGCTTTGAAAACCTAAGCCTCAGTCCACTCTCGTCCCTCCTAATCCATCCTTATTCTGCTTCCCACGCTTCACGACCTCACTGCACAGAAAGCAATAACATGGAAACCAACAGGCCCAGCTCACAGTGGCCTTAGGCGACACCGTTCCCCTTCTAGATCTAGATTCTCCAATAAAGTTGTAGGACTCAGAGGTCACAGTCTGGGAGAAAAGTTCAGCCTGAAGACTGTTTCCGCTGAACCCAGACAGTAGGGGCGGGGGTGGGGGAGGAAGCGGAGGGGAGAAGAAGGTCTCAAATCCTTTTACACAGGACAATCCTTTTACCCTTTCGTTCTCTCTCTTGCCACACTCCTCACCATTCCCCGCTTTTCTTCTTGGCACACGTCTCTCATCTACGTTACCTACTGGCCCCTGAGGCATCTGAGTTTGCCACCCCTGGACTAGGACATCTTCATGTCCTTTGTGATGATGGCCTTCGATGCTGCCGAGTCCTCCGCTTCAGGAGTGCTTTCCCTAGCTCGATCCTGTCACACGTTCCCCGAATCAGAGTGTCAAGCTTCATCCGAGAGATATTTTTCCAAGCCATGCCTGATAAACAGGGCTTATCTCAAGAACTGTCTCCTATCAGTTGGTAATGGCTTAGAACGTCGTGCTGAATGCTGAAAGCTGTGTTCAAGTTCACAGGGTCAAGAGAGACGTCCGCCAGGGCATGAGGCGGGGAATGGTGTCATGGTGCTATCATTTGCAGTCTTTAATAAGCCAGCCTCTCGTTTTACGGATGGGAGATGAAGGTCCAGAGAGGAAAATAACTTGTCCCCAGTCACCCAAGAGGTGAACTGAGACCCTCCTTCTCCTGACTTCAGGCCAGTGCTCTCCCCACCTCTGTTTAGACAGATTCTCCAGCGGAAATGCCCACCCTCTCTGCCTTCCAAATCCTTCCTTTAAGGCCTAGCCAAAGTCCACCCTCTTCCAAGGGTCTTTGTAGATGGCTCCAGGCCAGCTTGATCACCTCTACCTACCCTCCACCTCCCACCCCTCGTTTAGGTTGTGGCCCCGGGGTTATTGAGCTGGTCACCAAGAAACACGGCAGCTACAAGAGAGAGGCCACTCATGCCCTCTGGCAAGGAAGGCAGACCCGAAATGACTAATGACTAATTACAAGATCACTTAATTACCCTGGTGAGAGTGGGAACTCATGAGAACCGCTGTGAGCACACAGAGAAGGTGGTAGACGCTCAGCGAAGGCCTGTTTGGGGAAATCACCTCTGAGCTGGGGTAGGACAGATGACTGGCCCTCAGCGGTGAGGGCGGAGCACTGCAGGCGAGGGAACGGGAGTGCGCGTGACAGGCTGCAGGAACCGAAAGACACCGAGCCCAGCCCGGAGAGTGTGGGCGCAGAAGGCCGGTCAGGGAGAAACAGGAGCAGGAGCTGGTCTCATCCCCAGAGCGGCGGGAACCCTCTGACGTTTTAAGCAGGGTCACCGTTTCCAGTCAGACCCCTGCCCCGCGCTTCCCGGGTGGTACCCCAGGCTCCTCCCACCTCCAGCCTCACCACCTTCGGTGTTTCTATCCTGCTGCCCGCTGGGCATCTCCACGCCACGCAGCCTAAAGCGAACTCCCCGCCAGGCCCCGCTCCCCCGCAATCCGGGAATGGCAGTTTCCAGCTGTTCAGCGCCCCCCACCCCCACCCCACCCCCACTCCCGCCGTGGCTCCATCCTTTTCCCACCACTGCTGCGAACAGGCACATTCAGAATGAACCTCTAAACCCCGGGAGAACTAGACCAGGCGTCCCGCGGGCAGGGACACTGCAGCGGTGCCTTCCCATGGGGCGCAGCAGGTCCGCGTGTCCATCAGTGCGTGAGCTGAGAGTCCGCCCTCTCGCTGATGTCCCTCCCGCCTAGCGAGTGGACACTGCGGGTGCATTCTGTCTGGGGGGCTTTGACTCTGGTCACCAAAGTTCTCTTTGGTGAGATCAAAGGGATTACTTTAATCACCCTTAATCCAGCTGAACTATAAATCCATGCTCTCCTGTGGAAGCTGTTTGCTGTGATCAAGGCCAAATGATTTCTGTGGGATTTGAAACACAGGCACATGGAGAAGAGGGGTTCAGTGCTCTTCATCAAAGGGGACATTTGGGCGACAGATGGAATCCCGTTTTGAGTGGTAGGTACTTCAGGAATGATTCTGCCCCAGGAAAACTTCCTCTTTCAGGAAGGGGACACTAATGGTATCAGGAAAAGGGTTTTTCGTTATTACAATCTGCCCCACCTTCTATCTTCTGCCCCCTTTAAGAAGAGTGAATTCCCCATTCATTCAACAAATATGTGAGCACCTACTATGCGCTAGGCATTGTCTCGACTCTGGGGACACTGCAGTGAGCGTGGCCCCCGTTCTCCTAGAGCTGACATCCTAGGGGAAGGAAGAAACACCTGTACATCAGGTAGCACATGCTGAGAAGTCGAAGGTAAGCAGAGCAGGGGAGGAGAGAGTGTTTGGGGGCTGCTGTTTTAGGGAGAACGTTCCAGAAAGAACCCCCTCAACGAGATGACATTTTTCAAACAAAGATCTGAAGGAAATGAGAGAGCCGGCCCTGCCACTGTCTAGAAAAGAGGCGGTTGCAAAGTTCTGGAAGTGGCAGGGTGCTTGGCACTGTCGAGGGACGCCCAGGTGGCTGGAGTGCAGAGTACAGGGGTGTGCGAGACAAGGGGGAGGCCAGGGAGCACACGGGGGTGGGCCAGGCCAGCATGAGACCTTGGCTGTCACCCCGCGCCACACGGGAAGTCCTGGAGAGTTCAGATCACAGCAGGGGCTGGTCTGTGGGGATCAGAGTCAGAAGCAGGGCCACTAGTCAAAAGGAGCCCCTTATTTCCTGGGGGCGGGGGGAGCAGGTGAGGAGGAGGAGGAGGTGTCGAGAAAGAAGTTGTCTGAGTAAAAAAGGGTGCAGCATTCCTGAAAGAAAGGGTTTTCGGGGTGCTTGATGGGGGAACAGTAGTGCTTAGCGTGCTTAGGGGGCTGGATATGTGGATTGTTCTGGAAGTGATAACAGGAGGGAGTAAATTTAGAGCAAAAAGGGGACCCTAAAGATTGTGGAGGCCAGTCTGCACAGCCGCAGTCCCTCCCCAACGCAATTCTCCAAGGGAAACTGCCCAGGCCGGTCCCCAGTGTCATTCGGGACCTTGCTGCTCACCGGTAACCTGCCACCCAGGGCCCGAGGCTATGCATCCATCAAATGTGGACATGGCCAGGTGTGTGCTCTCGCGGCTGCGTGCTTCACCCACGCGGCCTTCCCCAGCGGGGAAGGAGGCAGGAATCCGTGTTGGTGCAATAATGTAAAGATGCTGAGTCTCAGCTCAGCCCACTTGGAACCTGGCTGCACCTCCCACATTTCCGTGGTGTGTATTCATTTCAGCATCTGGTTTTGGCACTGTTGGGGGGGAAACACTCAGATTGACTTTTTTTCCTTCTAGGATGATGGCGAGTATGATTAAAGTCTGCAGCTCTTTAAAAAATACTCCCACTCGGATCTCTTTTTTTTTTCTGCACGTAAGTATTATCAGCCACAATCGTGGAATCTGTCTGCTCCCGGATAAGCCGCTGGTCCTGAGCCCGCGCCTTTCAGGTAACCTCCCTATTAGAGAACTCGAAGACTGAGAGTCCTAGTTCATGAGTTACCTGCACAGGCCTAGAATGCTATCAGCGGATCCGCTGGACCTCCCGAAAGTTAGGAAGCATCTTCCGCTCTGAGCCCTGACAGTCATCACCCACCCAGGTCCCAGCACCGCACTCACCCAGGCCCTCCTGAATCCTCCTCGCTCCGTAATCTCTCCCTGACCTACATCGTCCAGGCCCAAGGACCCACCCCACTTTCAACACCGAGGACACCCATGCTATTGTGTATGGCAGTGACCTCTCCCGCAGGCTCCAGACTCACACCGTAAACTGAATGTCTTCACTTGATTTCTCCACTTAGATGTCCCCAACGTGACGGTCTAAAACAGAAGTCCCTCCCTCTCGCAAACACGGTTCCAGCCTGTCTTCTCCAGGCTCCCGGGTGACTCAAGTCAGAAATCAAGGAGTCATCCTGGCTCTTCCCTTTCCCTCATCCCTCTCCTCCGGTACTTGGGAAGCCGCCTGCGGAATGTCTCCAGAATCCCACCTTCTCTCCACCTCCACCGGTGCCAGCTTAGGCCAGCCGCCTGGCACTTGACTGCAGTAGCTTCCAGGTAGTCCTAGGAGGTCCCCCGCTTGCTCTTCCTCTCACCCCGACTCCTCTGCATCCCTCCAGTAGCAAAAAAAAATCTTTAAACGTAACTGGGTTGCATCCCCCTACTTAGAACTCTCTGACGGCTTGCCGTTATTCTACGATCAAGACCAGACTCTTGACCATGGCCACCTAGGCCCTTCGCGACTGGCCCCGCCTACCTCTCCAAACCCTACTGGCAACACTCCCCCGCTTAGCTTGCCTCAAACATACCATATTAGTTTTCTACGGCTGCCATAATAAATTGCCACAAACTTGGTGGCTTAACATGACACAGATTGATTCTCTTACAGTCCTCGAACCAAGGTGGCAGCATGTCTGCACTCCTCCACAGAGGTCACAGCGGTGAATGTGTCTTTGCCTTTTCCAGCTTCTAGAGCTGCATTCCTTGGTCCACGGGACCCCCTCCTCCACCTTCAAAGCCAGCAGTACAGCATCTTACTCTAGTGATCACATTGCCTTCTACTCCAGTGTCAAACCTTCCTTGGCCTCTTATCAAGATACCTGTGGTTGCACCGAGAGCCTATCCAGATCACCTAAGATAATCTCCCCATCGCAAGATCTCCTCTTTAAAGTCCCTTCCGCCATATAAGGCGACATTCACATGTCCCAGGGATTAGGACCTGGGTATTTTGGGGGCCATTACTCATCGTACAGCATGTACCAGGCTCTTTCCCATGGCAGGGTCTTTGCACAGCTTGTTCCCTGTGACTGGAATGCTCCCCTTGTCCCCATCATGGGCAGCCCCTTCTCATTCCTGGGCTCACAGCTCACCTGTCACCTCCTTGTAGAACCGACCCCCGATCTGCAGGCTTCCCATTACCCAGGACCTTTGTGGATTTCCTTCCCAGCACTCACCACAGTGGACCATATTTCATTTATTTTGCAGTTTATCTGTTTTCTGCCTGCCTCTCCCTCGTCCCTCGCCATAAGTGCCATGAGAACAGGAACCACATCTGCTGTTCACCCGCCAGTTGTCCTAACGCATCTGGCTCGTGGATGATTACTAACTGGGCTTCAGGAAGGTAGCGCCAGCAAAGGGGCTGCTGTGTTCACAGCTCAGAGAAGCCAGGCCCGTCTCCACCCTCCTCCCGTCCTCTATCAGAAACAGTGGTCTGGACAGAACCTCGCGCCACCAGCAAAGAGAACCCACAGACAGGGCCACACGCAGGAGCCTGGGGAAATGCCGAAAGCATTTAACGAGACAGGAACACGCAAAACCTTTCAAAGAAGCAGACCTGCCTTCAGTAAGCAGACGCCTGAGCCGTTGCTGGTCCAATGCAGCTAGGAATTACTTCAGCGGGGCCTACCCAGGAGGCTGCTGGCTGAGAAAAGCCGTGCCCAAATCTTCATCCTTCTCCTGGGAAAGACTCTGGGAGCCACTTGGAGAGAATGGAGGAGGCCCAGGGGCCCCTCACATCTTCAGCCAGAGGCTTCCGCAGCTTAGATGTCACCAAAGCCAAATCTGTTTCAATAGCGAGGCTATTCCTAAAAATTGCTTTTGCCTTAAGCGATACATTATCTGGTCGAACACATCATTCCCACCCGCCCCTCCAAGTAGAAAATTGTGCTTTAATATTTAATATTTGACAGGTGGCAAGGACATTTAAAAATATCTGGTCACAAGGAGGGTAGCTCTGGCGATTCATTAGTTTTCTCTGTGATCATTTACAGCATAAAATTCACAGTTGTTTTTTTTTTTTTAATAAAAATATAAACTTGGGAGAATAACACAAAGTGGTTTATAAATATTAACCAGGTTTCACAAATAATAACGTTTAAAATAATAACACTTGCACAGCACTGACAATTTACAAAAGCTACAACATGCACCCTCTCGAAAAATCCAAACACACATCTGCTTGAAAGGAAGGGCCTTTGATTTTGCCCCTGTAAACCTTTGATCCATAACTTTATATCCTAAAGCATTCTGGCACGAAGAAAACGGAACTGACTCTTAGGGGTATATTTTGGAAGTCTGCTCTCAGAATTCAGTTCATGAGCATCAACCAGAAACCAGAAACCTAGTGAGGCCGTTCAAAATTCTGACGCAGACGAATTTTTAAAAGCTGCATTTGGATGGCGAGTTGTTTCTAAAGGCTTCATGGAAGAGTAATTGACTTCGCTGGAAATAAAAGTCCATGTGTGATGGCAGCTATAGATGGACATATTTTTTTTGCAAATCTAGAATATCTTGGGGGCTAAATGGCTGTCATGTGTCCCCTCCCAATAACATCTTAAGTACCGGAAAGGAGAAAGGGGTAAATCGCAACCCCTCCCAGGCTGGGAGATGGGCAGCGGGCAGCCATACGGGAAGCAGCAAAGCTGAGAACACTGATCTTCGTAATCCTCCAGCAGAGAAGTGCCACGTGCGGGGTCCAGGATGAGCGGAGGAACCGGATGTGGGGAACGGCCTGGACGCCTACCCAGGAGCTGCGACGTGGCAGACAGTTCCTTCCTGAACACCTCTCCTCATGGCGAGCGGGGTGGGAAGGGGCCTCTCCCGTGGATCCAGGTCTCTGCGCCCACAGGCACTCGGCAAACCCCCGGAGGCCGGCCCCACGTTATAAGGGGCTGCTCCTTTGCTACCGCCTGTGGATCGAATCGTGGGAAGAACTTGATGGCAAACGCCTGCTCCGAAGAGCGCTGATGCTCCTTCCTCTGCCAGGATGAAGGAGATGTACAACATCCGCCCTAGGCCTGGGGACAGGGCTCCATCTGAATGGGCCGCTGCCAGGTGGAATCCGGCTCCTGGGCTCCAGAGCCACGGCCCCCTCGCACACAGACTGGGAGGACCTTGGCCTGGAGACATCAAAGCAAGAGTCTGGCGTCCCTGTGGCTGAGCCTCTCCATTTCCTCAGGAGAGAAAGTGTTTCCTCGAAGCCTTAAAGGGATAAAGAGAAGAGAGGCTGGAGTGAGGACAGACCCCTGGAGTGCTTTCCAAAGGAAGCTGGCCGGCCCCTCCAGCCCAGCTGCAGCTCCCCTGGGAAAGACGCCTATGCTGGTTTTGCTCAAAGGCAGCCAGGGTGGCTCGTAAATCACTGTGCACGATCAAATGAGGCTTGGTGACTCTGCACAGAAAGTCCACACCGGCCAGCCGGCCTGACTCCCCAAGGCTGGAGATTCTTTTTAAGGCAACAGCAAAATCTGTCAAGAATGCAATGAGCAAGTCCTGATGCCACCCCCGCTCCAAGTGCCAACAAGAGGCAACAACTAACATCAGAACCCTTAAAATACCAACCCGATGCCGGCGTGCCCCACCCCCCAACACCAGACACCCGAAGTGGCATTTCCTAGGATGGTGCAATGGTTTGGGTGCGGGGAGGAACCCACACTGTGCCCAGGACTGAGGACCCCATAGGGTACAGGGGTCACACAACCATATGGAAGACAATCTCTCTGTCGCAGGACAGATGCTTAGAAGTCCTTGTTTTCGACTTCATCCTTCGATATCTATGGTGGCTGCTGACTTGACATGCCTTCTGAGGGAGGGACAAGTCTGCATATTTAAAGGAGGGTGGCACGCTCCCACAGATGAGGCAGGTGACACACAGCAGCGCCCTGGACCTGCTCCAAGACAGCGGGCTGGGCGGGCATGCCGGCTGCTGGGGCCCGTTTGCCTGGCAGACTGGAGTCGGTCTCTCCTCTACTCTGCTTTGCTCCTGGCACTTTCAGTGGGGGTCCAGACTTGCCAGCTTTTTTGAGAAAACCCTAAAAGATAGATTCTTTATGAAGGAATCTCCCAGTTTTAAAATACAGACGGACCCCCAACTTACAATGGTTCAACACAATTTTTCAACTTTACAGTGAGGCAAAAAGCGATGTGTGTTGAGTAGAAACCGTAATTTGAGTTCTGATCTTTGCCTGGGCTAGCGGTACGCAGTACAAAAGGCTCTTATGATGCTGGGCCGTGGCGGAGAGGTGGTTTCACCCAACGGTAGGCCAGTGTAAGTGTTCTGAGCGCGTTTAAGGTGGGCTGGGCTAAGCGCCGATGTCAGGTGGGTTAGGCGTAGTAACGCATTTTTGACGTATGATATTTTCAACTTAGGAGGGATTTACCAGGATATAACCCCATCATAAGTTGGGGGATATCTGTATTGGCTTTCTAGCTCAGTGCCTGAAACGTATGTGGTGACATTCACTCGTAACATGTTAAACCAAGGGAAAACTTTCTACTTATTATCTGAGTGAACAACACATCCCTAGAAAGAAGGAGAATAAATTTTGGATGTGGTGACTCAATGCCTTTTTAAAATACATGGAGATGTGGCTTTTAAATACAAAGACTTAGATACATTGTGCAACAGTTCCCTCCCTGTGTAACCCCCACCCAGAGCTGCAGCCTTGACCTGACACAACGACAGCCTTGACCTGTGGCCGTAGCTGTAACACCCCGCAGGGCAGGAGCTGAGTTCTTTCCTGTTTTACGCTTCGAACATA